CAGCCAGCTATTCCCATGTTCTCTGAGCAGAGAGCTTGTGAATCAGCCTTCTCAGCCACAGAGCTGGTTCTGTGTCTCCCTCCCCACTTCCCTCTGTCTCCCATGAGGAACATAAAGAGAATTAGACTCCCAGGCCACCTTTCCATATAACAAAGGATGATGAGGCAGACAGAAGGGATGCTAAGATTGCTCTGCTATTTTGGACATAACAAAACATATATCATAGCACAGCATCTTCAATAGTGTCTTTCTTATATTCCAAAATGCAGATACATGAAACATATAAATCAAGATTTGGGTTAAAGGAGCTTGTGGTGGAGGACTTTAGGTCCTGGAGGAAAGGAAACACTCAGAGGCTCCAATCAGGTGGCATGCTGAAAATGCATTTGATTCAAATCTCAGCGATCTAGCCTCTGCTGTTCTGCAATCTAGGACATGAATGCATTAGCACTTGGACTTGGGCTTGAATTGCAAATTTGATTTTGTTGTTCATATTAAAAAAGCTATACCAGATGCTTGGGAAACATTAGGGTTTTGCTGGCTAGAGAACAGAAATATTCTACCTATATGTGTTTTGAAGATCCAGGAAGCATTCCTTCTCAGTAGCAGTTGTAACTATTTGTATCACTGAACTTTGAAAATGGTAAAGCTAAGCCTTAGAGGGTGTTTACTGGGTATCAGGTGTGAGGCTAAGTGCTTTCTACATGATTTCATTTAACCTCTGACTCATGGTAACTCTATGAGCTTGATATTATTGACCCACTTCGCAGATAAGGAAACCAAGGCTTAGGAGAGGCTGCATAAGTTTTCCAGGTTTCATTTATTCAACATGTATTTATTGTCTACTCTGAGCTACTGGAAACCCATTAGTAAACAAAATGGAAGAATCCCTGCCTTCATGTAACTTATATTCTAATGAAAGATATCATAGCCAACATTTCTTAAGTACCAGACAACACTGATATGTATTAGCTCTTAGGTAGGGATCTTGGATTTGAACTCAAGCATTCTAACTCCAGAGCCAGTGCTCTTGTCTCTCTAATTCTCACTGTACTGCCTCACCCAGCTGCCCACTCAGCCAGTAAGAAGTGAAACTTGGGGTCCCAGCCAGACCTGCCTGGCTCTATGGTCTTGACCGTCACTGTTTTACAGAGAAACAAACAGCAGCTCGTTTACTTCTCTGTCCTGCTCCATTCATTACATGACCTGGAACAGAGTCATGGGCTTGGGCGTTCTAAAATCGAGTCAGTTCACTGGTAAGACAAATCTTTATGTTTTGAAGGTTAACATCACTGCAGGAGATGCCAAAAGCCCCAAGCCTCGTTTACTTTAGGCCCTGACGCTGTGATATTTGACCATTCTATGTTTGCAGTTATGTTCAAGTATCTTCCATACTTCTGATAGAAACCATGGTTTCTTGCTTTGTCCAATAAATAATATCATTTTCTAGCAGTTTCTGTGTAATATGATTAGTTGAGCCAGTATTTTTTTTTAGTCAAATTCCAGTGCATCTCAGTTAGGAAGAGCCTTGTGTTCAGCAGTTCGAGGGCCTCTACGCAATGACTATGGGCTGTGTTTGATGTTGCGATTAAAAATACAAGATTTGCGAACAAGGGTTAGACTGGATTTCTTACTCAAAGACCCTTTCTACTCTGTATACTTTTCAAATATAATCATCTACTTAAGAAAGTAGCACCTAGCAGTAAAAGGACATTTCTTGAAATTTAGCACATCTCCACCTTGGTTTTGTTATCCTTGGGGCTCTCTGGAGCCTGGCAGTTTCACCTGTGAATGTTCAGGTGTCAGGGGCAGAGGGAATCCTGCTCCTCTCTTGCATTGGTTCTGTAACACACAGCACCTTGCCAAGAATAAGACAGTGCCCGAGCGGAAAAACCACTGTGCCTTCTGTTTCCTACCCTGTCATCCTGCCTTCTGCCTACAACTGTGTAAACTTACTGAAACCCCTTTTAACCCAGCCTAGTCGCCGCTCTGTCACTCAGCAAGCATCTCCCCAGTAGCTACTCTAGGCCAAGCTCTTCCACCACAGCCCCATGCACTGGCCCTTTCTGGGAGAAAGGGAAGCAGCAGACAGATGAGTTAGGTTTGTTATTGATAAGTTCATAGAGTTAGCAAGACTTTTCTTAACGGGGCTTTTAAAATGAGTCCGGTTAAGTGGATAACACTCTTTAGGATAAGAGTGGCTTATCCTAAACATGGCTGTTTATTCACCTGGGTGCATCTTAAGAGATCTGTCATTCCCATGACCAGGAATGTAGTCTCAAACCAGGCATTCCTATGGTCAATGAGGCTGCCTCCTGCTTAGATTCAAACTCTTCTCTTAGCTCCTGTGAATTAGACAAGAGGATGTTCATTCAGTTTGCAATGGTTTATTAAACACTGCTATGAACGTGACAACCGGGTACAGCCCTGTGGATGCACAGTAAGCACGTCAGCCACAGTTCCAACCTTCTTGGAGCTCACCACACAGACACTTCAGCAACTGCCCCAAAGTGTGATAAAAGCTATGGTAGTGAAGTACAGACTGCTTGGAAAGACCTATTTCAGGACATCTAACCTAGTATAGTCGGTCAAGGAAGGCACCTAACATCGCTGGGGTGGGGAAAGTATGAGAAGACTTCCTGGAGTAAGTGAAATCTAAGATCTGACCCGAAAAAAAAGCAGCTATTAACCAGGGGAAGAAAAGAGGTAGGGGGAGGATGTTCCAGGAAACCAAAACAGCATGGACAAGGCCCTGGAGGCAGAGGAGGCTCAGCACCTTAAAGGGGAAAGAATTCTAGGCTCTGAAGAGAAACCAGAATATCAGCACCTTTAAGGAACTGAAAAAGTTTCAAGGGAGTTGATGGAAAATGTACAGTAAGGGAGAAGAGGGGAAGGGATGCTGAATAGAGAGGCAAAAAGGTGAGCCTGGAAAGATGACCAGGAGGCAGGTGGTTTTGGCAACAGTCAGTTTGGACTTTAACCTAAAGACAGTGGAAGTCATTGCAGAGTTACAGACAAGAAAGGCAGTCTATCTTTTGGAAAAGGTGGCATTATAAAGAGTAGATTAAAGGAGCACAAAACAGTGAATATAAACATAGACAAGGGCCAAGCATGGTGGCTCACACCTGTAATCCCAGCACTTTAGGAGGCTGAGATGGGCGGATCATGAGGTCAAGAGATCAAGACCATCCTGACCAACATGGTTGAAACTCCATCTCTACTAAAAATACAAACATTAGCTGGGCATGGTGGCGCATGCCTGTAGTCCCAGCTACTCACAAGGCTGAGGCAGGAAAATCACTTGAACCTGGGAGGCAGAAGTTGCAGTTGCTGAGATTGTACCACTGCACTCCAGCCTGGCAACAGAGCAAGACTCTGTCTCAAAAACAAAACAAAACAAAACAAACAACAACAACAAAAAAACCCAACATAGACAAAAGAGCAAATGAATGGAGGCAAAGCATAAAAGATCAGTTAGAAGATGGCTGCAACAATCTAGCAAGAGACAGTGGTATCCTAGCCAAGGATAGTAACAGTAACAGAGGAAGGAGGTAAGGGGGCACATTAGAGTTATGTTTTGGAGGTGGAATCCATAAGACTTGCTGGATTGCTGATGTGGGAGGTTTCTAGAAAAATGCTCAGTGTCTGACTTGGATAAATGGATAGATACTGAGGTGGGGAACGCTGATGAGGATTTTCTTTGGGTAACAAAGATAATAAGCTCAGTGTTGAGACATGTTGAGTTTTAGATGTCCATGAAATATTCAGTAGAAGAACATTAGATTGAGTGGAGCTGAGCACTAAATCCAATGAGCCTGCTTCAACTATCTTCTCTAGGCTGACGGCCCCAAAGCAATGTACGTAGCCCAGTTTTGTGAGCCTGGAAAGATAAGCATCTATTAGGGGTGTCAGCCTAGAGAAGATAGCTGAGGTTGTAATCGATGAAATTGCCTAAGCGAGAATGTAGAGTGAGCAGAAGGAGAAAAACAGCTTAAGACAAAACATTGAAGAATCCTGTCCTTTAGGAAAAAGAAAGACTACATAAGTGATTGAGAAAGAGCTGGTGGAGAGAAAGGAGGAAATTGAGAAGGGTGTAATGTGGAAATCGGTGGAAACGTGCTTTTAGAAAAGAGTGGGCCACTGTATCAAAGGTCCTGAAAGATGAGGTCACATACAAACTTGAAGGAAGTTTGTGATTGCATTAAACATTAATTTTCAAGTCTATGCTATTTAGTACATGTGTTAAGTTCCATATTCTTAGAAGTTTTTCTTTTAGCATTTTTTTAATGTTGATTTCATTCCTTCATGTTCTCATTTAAGTTGCAACAAGAATTTAGGATAGTTACTAATGTCTTTGTCAAGTATGTTACATTTTGGTCCAAGTCTCATGTCTAGCATTCATAGTGGCTCACACCTGTAATCCCAGCACTTAGGAAGGTTGAGGCAGATTGATCACTTGAGGCCAGGAGTTCAAGACCAGCCTAGCCAACATGGTAACACCCTGTCTCTACTAAAAATACAAAAGTTAGCCAGGCATGGTGGCATGTGTCTGTAATCCTAGCTACTCTGGAGGCTAAGGCAGGAGAATTGCTTGAACCTGGGAGACAGAGATCGCAGTGAGCCAAAATAGCACCACTGCACTCTAGCCTGGGCAACAGAGCAAGACTCCATCTCAAAAACAAAAAAAGAAAGAAAATAATAACAGATTTTTCTTCCCTGTTGACAGGAGTGTTGCCTTTAAGCATCTATTTTGTTTCCCACCCTTCAATCTTTTGTTTTCTATGTCTTAGCCCTGTGAGTTCTGCTTTTAGATAAAACCTTTTCCCAGAGAATTTGAATTGCAGTGTTAGTGTTGCCTGATTTCGAAATTGTAAGTATGACTTCTTTCCTGTGTGTCGTAAACCACTTAAAAGTTAGTTCATAGCAATGCACATCACAACCCTTAAAGAGTAAAATATGACTTGGAGGTTTAGTCATCCTCTTTCCTGTTTCTTTTCCAGCTACAAGAGACTGTGAAAAGGAAGCTGGAAGGAGCTCGATCACCACTTAATGGAGACCAGCAGAATGGTGCTTGTGATGGGAATTTTTCTCCAACTAGCAAACGAATTCGAAAGGACATTTCCGCAGGGATGGAAGCCATCAACAATTTGCCCAATAACATACCACTGCCTTCAGCTTCTCCTCTTCACCAACTTGACCTGAAGCCTTCTTTGCCCTTGCAGAACAGTGGAACTCACACTCCTGGGCTTCTAGAAGATCTAAGTAAGAATGGGAGGCTCCCTGAGATTAAACTTCCTGTCAATGGTTGCAGTGATCTGGAGGATAGCTTCACCATCTTGCAAAGCAAAGACCTCAAACAAGAACCTCTCGATGACCCTACTTGCATAGACACATCAGAAACATCTCTTTCCAATCAGAATAAGTTGTTCTCAGACATTAATCTGAATGATCAGGAGTGGCAAGAATTAATAGATGAATTGGCCAACACGGTTCCTGAGGATGACATACAGGACCTGTTCAATGAAGACTTTGAAGAGAAGAAGGAGCCAGAATTCTCGCAGCCAGCAACTGAGACCCCTCTCTCCCAGGAGAGTGCGAGTGTGAAGAGCGACCCCTCTCACTCTCCCTTCGCACATGTCTCCATGGGATCTCCCCAGGCGAGGCCTTCTTCTTCTGGTCCTCCCTTTTCTACTGTCTCCACGGCCACGAGTTTACCTTCTGTTGCCAGCACTCCCGCAGCTCCAAACCCCGCCAGCTCACCAGCAAACTGTGCTGTCCAGTCCCCTCAAACTCCAAACCAAGCCCACACTCCAGGCCAAGCTCCACCTCGGCCTGGAAATGGTTATCTCCTGAATCCGGCAGCAGTGACAGTGGCCAGTTCAGCGCCAGGGCCTGTGGCTGTGGCCAGCTCTGACATGTCTCCAGCAGAGCAGCTCAAACAGATGGCCGCACAGCAGCAACAAAGGGCCAAACTCATGCAACAGAAGCAGCAGCAGCAGCAACAGCAGCAGCAGCAGCAACAGCAGCAGCAGCAGCACTCAAATCAGACTTCAAATTGGTCTCCCTTAGGCCCTCCCTCTAGTCCATATGGAGCAGCTTTTACTGCAGAAAAACCAAATAGCCCAATGATGTACCCCCAAGCCTTTAACAACCAAAACCCTATAGTGCCTCCAATGGCAAACAACCTGCAGAAGACAACAATGAATAACTACCTCCCTCAGAACCACATGACTATGATCAATCAGCAGCCAAATAACTTGGGTGCAAACTCCTTAAACAAACAGCACAATATTCTTACTTATGGCAACACTAAACCCCTGACCCATTTCAATGCAGACTTGAGTCAGAGGATGACGCCACCAATGGCCAACCCCAACAAAAACCCCTTGATGCCGTACATCCAGCAGCAGCAGCAGCAGCAGCAGCAGCAGCAACAGCAGCAGCAACAGCAGCAGCAGCCGCCGCCACCTCCACAGCTCCAGGCCCCCAGGGCACACCTGAGCGAAGACCAGAAACGCATGCTTCTCATGAAGCACAAAGGAGTGATGAATCAGCCCATGGCTTACGCTGCACTTCCATCCCACAGTCAGGTAAGTGTGAAACTGAGACACACTTCCAGCAGTTCTGGTGGTGCATTTCAGACTGTCAATGTGTGATGGTCCGCAAGCTTCCGCTGTAGTGGGGTCTAATTGCCTGCAGAAAACCTCTTTACACATCCGCAAGCAGTGGCCAGGTTTGAAGGGTTCTTTTTCCATTTCTCCTAAGAGAGGGAAAAGGGTAACACGATGAACTTTTTTCTATTTCAATGCCTAGGAATCATGAAATTTCTTTTATTCCCAACTGCAGATAAGAATTACATAAAAATTCTCACTCTGAGGGAGGGAGGCTACAGAAGTCACCCCACCAAACATGGCACTACCTCTGTGGCTTCTCTCCCAGCTCGCGTAATCCTAGGCTCTGGGTGGTAGGAAGCAGGGGACATTCAGGGCTATCTACAATCGTTTTATAAGGTCCTGAGCAGCCCTTCAGCTGTCTTACTGGATTATGAATAATGGGAAATTTGGCTTCTGGATGTTCAAACATAGGAGAGCTTTTTGTATTTTCACAGTGAAGTGGAGGGCAGATTTTTGTAGGCCCTTAAAATGTTTAAACACTTGCTGCTAGACTAGCAACAGTTAGAAGCTGGTTCAATCCTCGTACTTGGGAGTGCAATGAAACCTCTCAATTCACTCAGCTCTATTTCTGGAAAATTTGACGGTGAATATATCTTAGTGCTGTATTAAAATAAAGTCTCCACTTTCCCACTGTCCTCCTTCATGGGCAGTCAGGCACTCAGTGTGCATGGCAAAAAATGAACAGCAGCCAGTTGGGAAGCAAATAGTCATTGACAAGCATTTCACTGTCTTCATCCTCACCAGTGGCAAACAGCCAAAGCTCCTTAAATGGAACACTTTTTCTACCCTGAAGGAGGGAGTGGGGAAATGCCCATTAGAGCAACTCCACCTGCCCCACATGGATGAATTCAAGAGAGATCCTCTTACTGCCAATTTCTGTGCTGGGCCTCAGTTCTTCCCGGATGCAGACATAGGCATTTTACTTGGAAGATTTGCAGAAAAGTCTTTGCTTTAGAGGCCCTCATGTCTAAACGGGTTCTAACTAGTGCTCAGATATGTGTCCACAATTGGGTGCTTTAGAAGCACTGGGAAATAACGCAGGCAGATCTTGCCTCACTTGGTTGTTTGCATCTTGTAGCTCCTGGAGTGCCCCACCCCACCCCCAAAACCCCAAGCTTGATGAAGCTGCAGGGCTGGAGGTGGTGCTGGCCTGCAGAGACAGGCCTGAGCTCTGTGGCTTCATTCTTGTCCTTCTCAGTCTTACAACCCCCAAACCTCACAGTGGCTTCTTGTCTGCACATGCCAGCCAGCTCTAAAGATTCTGTCTGGATAAATAAAAGTACAACTTCGTTTACATCGACTGCAATCAGTAACTGGTAGAAAAATATCATTGAAATGTGAACTTTGATGCATTATCTTGGTTGCATTAAGCATATATGCCATTGGAGAAATACAGCATTTTATACACTTCCAGATTAAGTTCCGAAGCAGGCAAAAATATAGGCAATATACATGGATGTTTGTGGTAGCCCAGGCATGTCAGAAGGTTTATGAGATCACAAGCTGTCAGAATGGTCTGTTGTTAACACAAATGTGCTTCTACATTCGCTATTTTTACACTAGCTACAGTAAAGCATTTCCTTCAAGCCAGACCAGAGATGAATAATTAATTTTAGTTCACAGGCTCTGCAGACATGTGGGTGCAATAATGCACCCGCCCTCACCCCCACTAAATGTCTTTCAAAATGTGCTAACTTGGGACAAAGTTTCTGTCTTTGCAGGAATATGAATTTTAAGGGGACTTCTTTCAGGTCCTTATGCTTGCCTAACTATGAGTCACTGACGCTGGTAGCTGCAGAGGTCATGTTTTGAAAGAACTCAGTCAGGTGAAGAAGCGAAGTGATGGTTTTCTGGGTTAAATCTGTATGCTCCTCCTCTCTTCTTCATCTCATGAGGTATCTTCAGGGTGGACAGAATATTCCTTTGTGAGGCCTCATTAGAATAATCACTTCTTAACCTCTTAAAAACTCATCAGGTAAAAGCACGCTTTTTAATGAAATATTAACTCACCACTGTTTGAAACGAGCTTTAAGATACGTATATAAACATGTGAATATCTTTCTGCAAACATACCATTTATTTCATGTTTTTATCTGATTGTGAAGCAGTATTTACATAGCTTTCAGAGTAATTCATTACATTATATGTGGGTCCATTCCTCAAATACTAACACGAATTACAGGTGCGGTATAAAATATAATTATATGTAGGTTTAGTTCAGTTTTGTTTTCTGCTATTGCTGGAGAAAATACACTTTATTCTTCGTTGATCACAATGACCATGATCAACACTTCGTTTTAATGAATGATTTGAGCAGCAAAGCCTTTTACGCACATTTATTTCAAGAAAATTGTCTTCTACAGATGTTTACTTATTTGGAGCACTCATATAAAATGCTATCTCTATCAGAAATGAATAGAAATGCACTCACTTCCTGGACATTTCAAAAAAGAAGGAAACAAAAATAGAAACAAAATATTTCAAAGTTTTGAATGTGTTATATCTGGTAATTCCATCCTCAAAATTTACATATTATTCTTTTTCGTCAGGTGATTGAACAAACAGTATGCTCATGGTGTTACTTATGATAGTGAAAAATATGATCCAAAATAAGCGTTTTGGAAAAATAATGTACATTATTTTTTATCACATTCATGATATTAATGAATGAGTAATCATATGAAAATGCTTATAATATGAATAAAATAGATCACAAAACAGTTTATATGTTACAGTTCAAATTGTGACTTTTAATATGTATGGAAAAATACTGAATGACTAAAATATTAGGAATGATATTTCTTTCTGGGTGGAAAAATTACGAGTGATTATTGTTTTCCTCTTTATATTTAACTGAATTTTCTAAACTTTCTATCATACATGTGTATTAATTCTACCATCTGGGAAAATACTTTTTTAAGGAAGGGAAACTCCCTATTTAAAAGAAATTTACCCTTCTCTAATTCTATTTTTTTTTTTTAATTCTGAGTTGAATTGATTTGCTAGTTGGATTAAGGTAACTGGCTATTCACTGCCATATATTAGTTGTGAATTTCTGCTCTAGTGAGTAGTCCTAAAACCTGTCTCCCACACTCAGTCTCTTTTCCAGTCTCTCTCCTCGCCCCTTTACCATGTTCTAATTCCTATAAAACTTTAGCTAAATTAGTGACAATGAAAGTGTCAATAATATTTTTAACTATTATAAGTTTTTGAATCTTCTCTGATATGTTTTTATGTTATTTCTTTATTCCCTTTACTTTTTTTTTTTTTTACCTTCTAGAACTTCTATTTATCATGGACTAAACCAGATTGTCTCTAATTTTCTTCTTACCAGTTTCACTTTTAAAAAACTAATACATAACATTTATACATATTTATGGGGTACATGTGATATTATGTTACAGGCTCAGAATATGTAATGATCAAGTCAGGGTAAGGTATCCATCATTGTATTTATTATTTCTTTATTTTTTTCTTTTTCTGAGACAGGGTCTGGCTTTGTTGCCCAGACTGGAGCATAGTGGCACTATCATAGCTCACTGCAGCTTTGAACTCCTGGCCTCAAGCCATCCTCCCATCTCATACCCCAAACAGCTGGGACCACAGGCATGCGCCTCCATACCTGGCTAATTTTTTTTTTTTTTTTTTTAATTTTCAGTAGAGACAAGGTCTCACTATGTTGGCCTGGCTAGTCTCCAACTCCTGAACTCAAGCGATCTTCCTGCCTTAGTCTCCCACAGTGCTGGGATTCCAGGCGTGAGCCCCCACACCTGCCTGAGTATTTATCATTTCTATTCAATGGGAACATTTCAAATCCTCACTTCTAGCTATTTGAAATATATAATATATGTTCTCCAATTTTTAAATATGTGTTTTTGTTATGAAATGGAACTACTTTGGTCACTCCTGTTGGTTTTTTCTTCCTAATCCTGTTGTTTCTTAAGAGCCAGATCTCTCTCTCTTCTCTCTCTCTTACACACACACTTTAGCTGATTTTTGCACAGTGCCTAGCACTGTGTCTTAAACATAAGGAAGTTTAGTAAATCATTTGATGGCAACTATCAAAGTTTGGGTCAAAAATATGATTACAGTTGATTATCAGCTCCAATGGAGAAAGCATTAGCACAAATAACACAGAGCCGCTTTTGAGATCAAATAGAAGAGCTGAAAACGCAAGTCTAGAAAGAATCCTTTGATAGGAGGTGGTTATCTTGAACCAGCAGAACAACAGTGATATTGCTGGGAAGGCAACTGCAATCCCTGTATCTGACAAACAAAAAACAATGGAGCAACTATGAAAGAAGTAATCCAAAAGCAGAGACTGCTTGCTGGTCAAGGACGGTCACAGGCCAGCCTAGAGCCCAAGAATAATTCCTGCGGGGAAGAGCGGAAAGCAAATCATCTCAAAACTGTGATGTTAGTTTTTCATACCTGCAATCTTAGGACTAGATACATCATAGATGACTCTACTACTTTATTCTTTACACATATGTTTTCCACGTGTGGCGGTGTGCATCATAATGAGTACACGTGCTCATATTTTACAGAGCGTTTTTCCTTTTCAATTTTATTTTACCAGAATTTGTGGAATGCTCTGTGTGGCATATTATTATAAGCGTCTTAGTCATAAAATCTCCAGAGAAAGAACAGAGCTGCAATATTCATAGCCATCATGGAAATCTCTTGGAAGATACATTTTTCCTTTACTTTAAGAACCTAGAAGCCCTTTGTTCAGTTTCCTCGATATATATATTGTTTACCTTATCCAAGTAATACGCATGCATAGTTCAGAAAGTCAAATACTGCTCTGGGGCTTTTGATGAGAAACAGTGGTCCCCTACTTCACCCATGCCATTCTTAGTTTCTGCTTGCCAAAGCAACCACTTCCATGCAGGAGGTTGTTTTTTCATTTGTCA